AAAACATGGCGGACAAAAATCCATTCAATATTATTTCTTTGTATATACGGTAATCACAAACTAATTCTCGCCTAAAGGGGTCTATAGACCACCCTAGGCGTGAATTGGAAAAGTTATGAATTTCATTAATTTTATATACGGTATCTGCCCACACATCATAATTGGCCGCCATTTTGGTTGGCAAGTTTATTATGGAAGTCAATGGAGGCACGAAGAAAATGCCTCACTTACCTGCTGTAGCTCTATCAATAGCTAAAAAGCGCTTGTTATAAGAAAGAACAGCTGCCTATAAGCTTCTCCTGTCAAGGATTTGGTCAAATTTGCTCTAGAATTCTTAATACAGGTTTGTTTTTATGTCGGCCCGTTTGTTCTCCATTGAAAGTTGCCAACCAAAATAGCGGCCGAAATTTATTTCATCCTAAACCACGCCTTACAACCGTAAAAATTTCTAATTATCTTCCTACGCATTCGATTCTCGCCTAGGGTGGTCTATAATTACATTGAACTCCACCCTTTTCCGGTAATTGCAAGCAAACGAGCCCCACCCAAGCCATACAAGTTCGAACAAATTCTATACGGATTGGTCCTGACCCTCCTCTTTGCGAGGGTCAGGCTCCGCCTGACTAGCTTCGCCCAACAATTATTTTTCAGATGATAAAAAATTTGTGGCTACCCTTCATTCTCTTTTGGATCCATTTCTATTGAGAAGAACAAAATCAGAAGTATGTACACATACATGTACACTAATAATGATTTTTAATTCCTGCTGATCATATTTTTAACTTTTTATACCCTTAGGTATCATTGGGTTTACCATTGAAGAGTGAGATAGTTCTATACACTGGTTTATCTAATATACAGAAGACTGTCTACAAGGCTATTCTGACTAAAGATCTTAGTAGGTTTATTATCCAGTTTTATGATATACATATACATCTCTTCAGCACAATTGCATTTTACTTGTTACACCCGTTTTATAGACTACATACTAATGATTCTTGTTAGACTATAATTACCAATCAATTCCTGAGAGAGAAGAGCCTGAAGGGTCTTACCAGTGTCTATGATTAAAATTTAGATCCTTTCATCCAGCCCAGACTAGGTCCATATACTTAGGTTTACTTTTGAATACTCCAAACTTGTGCTGTCATGTGAAATAAAAGAGAAACTATCTGATGAACCTCTTTACTCTGAAGAGGAAGACTGAAGTAATCACTGTTGTGACCGAGAAGGAAAGGTAAAGAGAGGTCTCGCGGGAATCAACGATCAAATTTATCAATAAGTTAAAAACTTCTTAAAACTGAAGAATGCACACACTTAAATACACACAAATCAGTTGCATCATAATACATCACTGACACACATTGCATAACATTACATAACACTAGAAAGGAATCTTAATCAACAATGCATATATTATATTAACCTACATAAGAAATGAAAATAAGTACAGGAATAATAATTAGGAAAAATGATAATAATAATAATAATGATATAATACATGCCTCGGAAAATAATTATAGATAAGCATACATTAACATTATCAGTTATAACAATCACTTCACAAAAAAAAT